GGGGGGGGGTCCTGGTGAATGAACGGGGAGGGGGGCACCCCGCGGGGAGAGAGGACAGCTGGGTCCAGTGGAACCAGTGGTCCGTCAGTTCGGACACGGGCTACCCCGCATACCGGGCCCTTTTGGTGACAAAAAAGCGGCTCTGGAAACGGACAGGAGGTAGAAAATGGCTTTCCTTAGTGATTGGTTCTGTTGTTCCAAAGCTCGTGAGTTGTAGTATGTATTTGTTAATTGTTTTATGATGTTCGTAAGATCTTGAAGTAAAGGGACTATGACAAAAGACTGAACTGAGGCGAGATAATGTTTTTCTTTTCTTCTTAGGAAGGTTAGTATCACTTGTTTGTGAATGTACTTACTTGGCATGATTAGTGCTCGCTTTCAATTAACCCGCGCCCCGTTGGGGTCTGCCGAGCAACGCGCCCTGCTGGGGGGGGGGGGGGGAATTTGCCCCCCCCCCCCTAAGATCTCGAGAACCACGCAACATAGCGACAAGCGGCAAACTGTGTTGGATAGCCCCATCAGTGAACTACCTTGTGACCCAATTTCATTGACCTAGGTCAAACCGATGACGTCACAGGTCAGGTCAAAGGTCGAATTTTCACCGTTTACAGGTATTTCAAGAGATGCGTTGTAAAATCGAGTAAAATGCATTTCATTGAAAATCATCGATGGGGAAATGTTCATCCAACACATATTTTGCTATTTGAGGTCACTGATACCAGGTCAGGTCACAGAGGTCAGGTCACTGAGGGTCGGTCACAATATGAAAATATCATGTGATGCATGTTTTATGGTCCATTTTATAAGCCAAATACGATTATGTGGGTCAGACAGCCTTTGGGGTCAGTTTAGATTATGTTCTGGTGGATGTCAGGTCAAGGTCAGGTCAAGGTCAGGTCAAGGTCAGGTCAAGGTCAGGTCAAGTTAGGTAAAATTTCAAAATTGATATTTTTGCATAAAATAGGTATCGATTCGATGCCGGTCGTCACGGGGAGTTCAATGGTGGTCTTTGTTTTGCGCTACGTGGTCTAGAATTGCTAAAAATTGAGTTCAAAAATTTGACGTCAACAATTTTAAACAGCTTTTTGCTGTGAAATAATATTTTCGGAGTTTCTTGAGTGATATATATTGAAAAATTGATAGCAAATATTTCGATACTCGTAGTGGTACCCTTTTCAATGCGAGTGATGCACAGTGCGAGCTTTGTTAAGCACAACAAAATAACACAATTCCCATGCAATCGGTGGAGCTGGGTCCTCCAGTGCAGATAAAATAACCTATACGATACCGCCTTCCTAAGAACTTATACAATATCACTGTCTATCACGGAATTTTAATTAAATATTTAGACAATCAGCGCTAATTTAATAAAAAGAGCGTCACTTCAGTTACAGGTAAGTCACACTTACACAAGGTGACCCCCCCCCCCCCCTCGCGTGTTCGTTCAGCGTGCCAACCACTATCAAGGTAGCTCACAAATCCAAGCGATTGAGGGGTCACCTGGTTAATGTCAAAGATCCCGTGGAGCAGAGCAAGAAGAAAGGGGCCGTATACGAGATAAAGTGCTCGTGCGGCTCCAGCTATATCGGAGAGTCAGGGCGACCAAAACAGGACAGATTGAAGGAGCACACCGCCGATATCAAGCACGGACGCTGCGATACGTCAGCGACGGCCAGACACTTTTGTACCTGTGGCGGTGACTTGAACCCGTTCGAGGCGAGAACCCTAGCCATCGAACGCCACTGGAAAAAACGTAAAATCAGGGAGGCCATCGAGATCCGACAGCTGCGCCCGTCAATGAATCTCGACAGCGGTGGCGTCCAGCTGAGCCCAATATGGGACATTGTGCTAAAAAAATAGTGGTTGGCACGCTGAACGAACACGCGAGGGGGGGGGGGGTCACCTTGTGTAAGTGTGACTTACCTGTAACTGAAGTGACGCTCTTTTTATTAAATTAGCGCTGATTGTCTAAATATTTAATAAAATTCCGTGATAGACAGTGATATTGTATAAGTTCTTAGGAAGGCGGTATCGTATAGGTTATTTTATCTGCACTGGAGGACCCAGCTCCACCGATTGCATGGGAATTGTGTTATTTTGTTGTGCTTAACAAAGCTCGCACTGTGCATCACTCGCATTGAAAAAGGTACCACTACGAGTATCGAAATATTTGCTATCAATTTTTCAATATATATCACTCAAGCAGACTTGTGACAGCTCAAGAAAAAAGTGAGCTCGCTCAGCTCAACTCCGTCTTATCCGCTCCCGCTCAGCTCCCGCTCAGTTTAACGCGGCTCAGCTCAGCTCACGTTCCGCTCAAACCGGTTGCGCTCCGCTCACGCTCAGCTCAGCTCAGCTCAGTTTCCGCTCAGCTCAGCTCAGCTCAGTTTCCGCTCAGCTCAGCTCAGCTCAGTTTCCGCTCAGCTCAGTTCAGTTTTCGCTCAGCTCAGTTTCCGCTCAGCTCAGCTCAGCTCAACTCAGTTCCCGTTCAGCTCAGCTCAGTTTCCGATCAGAAAAATGTACCGACGAAAAAATGCACGGACGAAAAAATGTACAGACGAAAAAAATGCGAGACGAAAAAAGTCGGACGAAAATCTGCGGACGAAAAATTGTCCGACGAAAATCTTCTAGACGAAAAAAACGTCATGGAATCATCTTATAGGTGGTGTTTCACGGCCGAGAGCAGCACCCCCACGCCGCCATCCGCTCTTGGCACCATGCCAGGAGCTGACGTTACATTTTGGGGTAGTGTTGGAACTTGGAGATAAGAGTTTGTTTATATCTCCATGGAAACCCCATTTGACACGTGTGATAGCAGCGTGCTGTTATCAGTGAAACCTATAATACCACCCTGATCTCAACCAAGGCAATGTCAACACTATTAGAATTCATAGTCGGCGTGTGAATAAGAGAGCTTTTCCCATATAATGGACATCAGAAGGTGAGAGTTCCAGTTAGCGCCTCTGCCCCACCCCACTTTCAATAGGATATGGTTGCTTAGCCCACATTCAACCAACGAAGAGGAACTTTATTTGCTAATTCCTAATTGTAAATATTTTATGCAGAGGTAAGAACCCTTATTGATAAAATTAATTTAAATAACTGCTTAAATAACAAAATGAAGAATGCTGAATTGTACATTGCGGAGCAGAGTGTCAAGGCGAAGCATCAAAGCCTGACAGTAGGTATTCATTCATCTTGCAGTCAGACTTGAAACTTGAGACTGGCTGTATTAGCCTGTAAATTGGCCAAGACCCTGGTCTTCCAATTTCCATGCAATATGGGTGAAAGAAATTAAGCTTGATTAGTGATTACTATTGATTTCTTTAGAGTTTTGATATTTTTAAGTGCGATCACGAAGGCAGTGTAATTGCTCACTCCATAGCTAGCTCATAGCTGAAGCATCAAAGCCTGAGTTAATTTCCAAGCATGAAGTGAACAGAATTAGAACTGGATCAGCTCAGCTCAGCTAAATCAGCTAAGCTCAATCAGCTCAGCTCAGCTCGCTCAGCTCAGCTCAGCTTAATCAGCTCAGCTCGCTCAGCTCAGCTCAGCTCAGCTCAGCTCGCTCAGCTCAGCTCAATCAGCTCAGCTCAGCTCAATCAGCTCAGCTCAGCTCAGCTCAAGCTCATTCAGCTCAGCTCAGCTCAAGCTCATTCAGCTCAGCTCAGACAGCAGCTCAGCTCAATGCATTACTGAGCCGGCTCAGCTCACAGCTCAACAATTTGGCAAAATGTTGAGCCGGCTCATGAGCTGAGCTGATTTTTGAGCCGGCTCAACTGAGCTGATCACAAGTCTGCACTCAAGAAACTCCGAAAATATTATTTCATATTCATTATAACTTGAGGAAAAGGTAACATGACTCTTAAGTCATAGCTTTTTCGCTATAACTTGGCCAAAAAAGGAGGTATCGATCTGAAATTTGGTATGCATGTATATAGAAGAGCGCAGGGACTATCACATATATTCCGGTTTTCTGAAATTCGGAAATATTTATGGATTTTTTTTGCGTTTTTCTAAAAAAATCATTTTTGAATTTTTGGGATCAAAAACCCAAAATTTTGAAAATCCGAGATGGCCGTGTTGTAGCGCCGCCTTTTGTCTACATGAACATATAAACAACTTTGAAATTGCTTGGTAACTAGATTTTGTGAGCGTTTCAAGATTTCATGTTTTTTTGCTCATTTATTGCTCGAACATGACCTCAGTTTGACCTCAATAACTCCTGACCTAAGGAGACCTAAGACTTGAAATTTTGTGTGAAGGTTTCAAATTGATGCCCGGGAAGGTACTGAAAATTTGGCAGCCGTTTTCTTGCTATTCAGGAAAACCACAGGGGGGAGGGGCAAATTGCCCCCCCCCAGCGGGGCGAGGGTTATTCGTATTATCGGCAGCGTTCGATACTAGCGTTGTTCAGAGACAAGTGACAACTGCTTCAAACGGTGTAGGTATTCCAGCGCAGTCATTGTCAGGAACCGCAAAACGGTTTCGCACCCTGCCCAGTGTCCATAGTCCGTCTCCTCACATAATGCCTTCATTGACCGTTAATACCGTCTTGTTAACGATTAGTTTGGAGCCGTTCTGTCCATTCACTTGGGACCCGGGTGACGACACAGAGAAACAGCCGGCGTGGCGGCTCATCCTTTCTGTGACCGAGGAGCTGCAGCTGGTCAGTGCCGCGGTGTTTGTCGCTGAGGTCTCCTCTCTGAGGCGCCGTCGGGGGGCACGTGCGCCCGTCTCGGTATTCCCGCGGCTGCACCGACCGGCCATCCGCCCCAGCCGCCGCGTTCTCCCCGCTGATCGAACTGGTCACCGCTGCCGTCCACACAGATGTCGGTGAACAAAAGTGTCGCCGGCGGCTGGCGGCCGGTGACCATTGTCCAGTCTAGGGGGCCGAGTTTGAGCCGCTGTCCGCTGGGCGGCGCTGCGCTCGCCGAGGGGGCGGCCGCCGCCCGTAGGACGTGCCGCAGGGGATGGCGGTGCGTGCTGATCTCGAGAGGGGAGAGGAGGCCGGCCAGAGGTGACGGGGTGGCCGCCGGCGCCGGACACCGCCGCCGTGAGTGAGTTCAGAGAGTGGGATCGGAGGACGGAGCCGGGGTGACACGGCGAGGAGCGCGGCACAGGTAGGTGTCCCAGGGAGGGCGTGCTCAGGTGGGGCCGTGACACGGCGCGGAGAGACGGGTGATCATGATGTGATTGATCACTCGGACGACCCTGCTGTTTAGTGGATCGGCAGTGGTCAGTGGATGTGGACTCCGGTGTACAGACTTGTGTGGTGATTGTCGCGTGGCGATGGCTTGGGCTGTGGTTTGGCGGGCTGGGCATGATAGGCTTGTTGAGGTGCATGACTGCCACACAAAAGTTTACACAGTTCCGTGATGTTGGGCATCTTTTTCTGCAGCACTAAGAATTCGGTGTTTGATACGTATCTACGAATGGTGTTTTGCCATTGCTCTTGGCTGTTATTTGGAATGGCTGCTTCTAATGTGTCATATCATATAAGGGCATCGTGAATTCGGAATGTGCTCGAGCTATAACCATTGTACTGGTTTTAAATCACATTATATGTTTCTATAACTGCAGGCTTCTATTACGCGGATAATTTGTGCTTAATTGGATCTTGTTCTTCATGACACGCATGTAGCTGCCCATCAACCAGGTGACGGATGTAGTGCGGTAATTACTGTTCGAAATTTTTTATCTGTCTTCCTACATGCATTCGGAAGGCGTACCTATAATTAGCTAAATATCAAGGATCGTAGGCTCTAGCTGTCGATGGCGATTCTTGTTTTAAATGGTTGCATTATCTGCCGGAGACAATGAATATGCTTTCTGGCTGTCATCGATCAGCTATTCAGTCATATATCTGCCGGTTCTGGCAGATAAATTCTTAGGTCATCCGCACGTGTGTCCGTTGGGGTATGGTATTAAGTTGTTTTTGCATTAGCTGACTCAGAATGGCGAGCCATACTTGAGTCGAATATCGTCTCTTATAAAATGGGGACCAAGTATTTGAAGTAAGTGTAACGTCTAAAAAAATTCAATTTGTCAGCAGTCTCTAATCTTACATCAATAGCGGCATCGTAAGCATAATCGCAAGCACCTCATAAAAATCGTATATCATCAGCATCCTAAGCAAGCAATAGGTATGCATTTCAGCGCAAATGTTCTTATCTTTAAATGCCGGGAGCAATGGCACTATAACTAGTGGTGCCAGCTTTAGAAAATATTCGTCCAATGTCCGTCCGCTATGTCCGATATTTTCGTCGACTGTCAGTCCAAAATGTCTAAGCCAGCCATTTTTCCAAAGATGTCCGAAAACTATGCAACATTCAGTGCTCGCCAAAATTGTCATTTACTTTCCTTTTATTGTACTTTCTGGCTAAAAGCTGAATAACACCGAACAGAGGCGGATCCAGCTCAGAGGTTTGGGGGGGGGGGGGCAAACCATAACAATTTATCGATTCTTTCCATGCATCGTATCGTCCATAGGCGTAACGTTCAAATTATGCAGTTTGGGGGGGGGGGGGGCAAATGCCCATTTTGCCCCCCCCCCCTGGATCCGCCACTGACACCGAAAGCAGGGTTTTCTGTTTAGGCACTTTTAGTGATATATACGACTATATTTTAAAAGGTTGAGATGCAGCCAGTGATTATCCGACTTTGTCCAAATCCTGCTGTCTCTGCCCAAGCAATTGTTCCGTATTGGACAGTGGACAAAGCCTGAATTCCGAATGTCCGAGTTCCGATTGGCATCTCTGGATCTAACAAATTACCTTATGTCTCGGAGCATCCAAACGATTAGTGATTACAGACTTCTTTTTTCTAGTGATTCCACACATACTTTTATTGAACTTCTGTGCCTTGACTCGACAGCGGATATCGGACACATTTGACCAAATGGCCGTTGTTATTGGCGACTTCTTTGAGTTCCATATAATAAATCTGCCCCTCCCCGACTATATATTATATAATAAATCTGCTTAGTCGGCGTGGGTGAAATTTAATGGGTCAAACAAACGTCAGTCGCATTATTCTCTGAATGGTCTTTCAGCGTGCAACGTCTTCGAAACACGGGAACTGTGGTTGTAAATAATACAAAGGAACGTAGGTAGGCTGTGCCGCAATGGCGGGTGTTGTGCGGCACAGTCTACCTACTGTCTCTCGCTGAGCAAAGCTAGCTTTACATTGGCGGTTGTGTTCATCAAGAAACTTGGTCAGGCTGACAACGTATTTCCATAAACGATTACTTGACAGGCTTCCAGTATGCAGCCAGGTTTCAGTTTACGTCAGCTTTATTTGTTGTTGTTGGGAAGGGTTAGATTGCACGACATTCGCTGTTCATCATTTTTATTACGCCGGGGACAAAGTACGCAAATTTGAAAATACAGCATTGAATAATGCATTGCTTTTGTCAGGATACCTGCTATTTTTTATTTCATACTAATGTTCTGATTGTTAGTTGGAAGTGCATTTTATGAGGCATACTTTTCCTAACTATTTCCTAACATTTCAACTAGATTTGATCACCTGTCAAATGCTTGCTGGAGGAATCTGAGTTTGATGCAAGCGGCTTTTCGTCAGCTTTTGAAACTTCTCACAGCACCGACTTTCCTGGGAAAAGATGCTTATTGCGTTTTGCCCAATCATTCTGTTCAAGAGATGCGCGGCACGAACACGGGATTCACTTTGGCGTTAGACGAAGTCCGCCCATCAGTCAGTCCATCTAACTCCGTCTGGCTGTCCGTATTTCTGTTGATCCGTCTTTCCGTCTGTCCGTCTGTCACTGTCCGTCTGTCCGTCCGTTTATCCGTGTATCTGGCCGTGTACCTGTCAGTCCGGCTATTCGTATTATATCCGTCTATCCGTCTGTCCGTATGTTCGTCTGACTGTCTGTATGCTCGTCTGTCCGTCTTTCCGTCTGTCCATCTGTCCTTCCTGTCTGCCATCTGTACGTCTGTCCGTCTATCCGTCCGTCTGTCCTTCTGTCCGTCCGTCGATTCCTGTATCTGGCTGTGTATCTGTCAGTCCGTCTGTTCGTATATTCGTCTGTCCGTCTGTCCGTCTGTCCGTCTGGCTATCCGTCTGTCCGTCTGTTTGTAAGTGTATCTGTCTGTCCGTCCGTTGGTCTATCCGTCCGTCCTTCCGTCCATCTGTCCCTTTACTGTGTGTATGTGCCTCGCTATCCTATCTCCCAATGTTGCATTCCACCGGCCACACCGTTCTCTGTTCTGCCGACTGCCGCGGCTGCTGAGTGCTGGTGGGACTCCGCTCGCTGCCCGGCCCTCCCCTCTCCACTGCAGCCGCCGCCGTGTCGCCGTCCATTTTCCCTGGCGCGCTCCCCTCCGACCCTCCTGTTTAATTTACATTTTTATCCCTGATTTAATATTCGGCGGCCGGCGCGGGGCGCGGACGGCACGTGCCGGCGGCGTCGCGTGCGCCGCTCGCGCCGCGCCGCCGCCCCGACCATAAAGGGCCGCTAAAAAAGCCGGGCGGCCGCCCGCCGGCCGGCAGCCAATCAGCTCGTCTGATGGCACCGCACCGGCGGCGTAAAAAGCTGCACACCGTCAAAAATGGCCGACTAATAGCGGCCCCCGCGGCGCCATTATGAAGGGTTGCTTATAAAAAGCCCGGGCGCGAGCTGGATCGCGGGTAATAGGGACACGATCAAAATGTCGGACAGACCTGGTGGTTTTGGTGATGCTTTAGTGGGTAAAGTGGCAAATGATTTTTATTAACGGGACTGATAATAAAGGTACAGCATCTGATGCCTTTAGTGCTGATGGTGAGCCTAATCAAACACTTTTTAGTTGATAAAAAAGAAAATAACACTGGTGCGTGGTCTAGGATTCGCCTGGTCACTCGTGTGGTAGTCACCACAGTTGCAGTCCAGTTGCGATGGGATGCCGTTTATTGATTTATCTTCACGACAAGAAGAAACGTTTTATTATAGCCTATTTTTGTTTTTATGTATTTTGACTCAGACATTGAATTGATCGTTAGGACTACACGCCACGTTTGTAGTTCTAAGTTTTCAGCCAGGCCAAACTTTTAAATTGTGTTCAGATTTTGCTCTGATTTGCTGTGCATGTGCAAGGAAGGCAGGCACATCGTATACCTATTCATTGATTTGTCGAGCTCGTCTCACCGTCGTCAGTGATGCCTAGGTCTGTATCTGGCGGAGTAATCAGACCACCGCCCCTTCGTTCCATCCCGTCCCCTTGCCTCCGTCAGACGAAATTCTCTGGGATTTTATCGGAGACTCGGTCGATGCTTACGGTAGTAAAACCACCAGACTTGGCCGTTTTAAGAATTCCTCTTCGTACCACCCGGCTCCGTGCCAGTAGCCGTCCGTTTGCGCCGCTCCGGTCTGCAGTGCGCCAATATCGTCTGTTCCGCGGCGCTATCGCCGGCTGCGCGCCGAGCCCGCCGCTGACTCAGACGCCGCCCCCGCGTACAATCACCACTTTATCATAGTTTATTGGCCATTTTATAAGGGAGGGTATTTTAGGAATAATAGGAAAACGCGCCGGCGGCGCGCGGCGACTCGGGATGGCGCGGCTGCGGCGGACGGCCGGGGGCGAGAGTAGTGGCGGCGCGGAGCGCACGGGGGGGGGGGAGGTCTCAGGAGACCGGCGGCAGAGAGGCTAGATGGCTGCGCTGCAGACCCCAGCTCGGCGGCCCCCTGCCAGCTGAAAACAGCCGCCAATAACCACCACCGGCGCCCCTCACCCATTCAAAATTGGAAATATGAGATTATTTAGGGTGTGCGGACGAGGGAGGGCCGATCAATCGGCGGCGATGGCCGCGACGTGCCGCGTCCGATCGCGCCGCGTCGGTCGCGACGGCGCGGCTAAAGGGTGCGCCCGCCGCCGGCCGTCGATGAGTCAGCGAACGGCGGCCATTTTTGGGAGCGGCGCTCCGCGATGGCGGGACGGCTGGTGAGAGAGCTAAAACAGCTGAGGGCGGCGCCCGTTGCACGACCGGCCGCCGCGCTGTGCAACGGACCGCGGACGGCGGCGATGGCGGCTGCTGCAGAGGACCGCGGGAGGCCTGTGGTTGGAGTGGTGCTACTGCTGACTGCTGCGCTGATATGTGTCTGAGGACTCACTGGGGATATTTT